CGGGGACCTGGGAAGTCAGCTCCCGAAAGCAGCTCCTGCTGACCTGGCGCGTCTTGTTCAGACATTCTGGGGGAGAACGGACTAAAGCAAGTTATCTCTTCTTTCATAACATTTACTGTTTCTTACAAGAATCCTACATGCTTTGTAGGAAGTTTGGGCAATATAGTAAAAATGGGGGGGGGTCATCTGTCTCTGGCACCCCGAGAAGATCAGGGGAAGCACCAGCGGCCTGTCTTCCCCTGTCCATCTTCTGGGGCAGGACAGGCTTGTTTGCCAACTGGAGATGTTCTTGGTGGTTGAGTTCATTCTTTGAGGTCCCCTGGCCAGGCTCACACACACCAGGATGGCCACCAAAGGCCATGGGAACCCACTTCTGCGTGCGTGGGCATTCTACATTCACACTCGCCATCACCTAGACACACTACATTCCCCCTCGCCATCACCTAGACACACTACATTCCCCCTCGCCATCACCTAGACACACTACATTCCCCCTCGCCATCACCTAGACACACTACATTCCCCCTCGCCATCACCTAGACACACTACATTCCCCCTCGCCATCACCTAGACACACTACATTCCCCCTCGCCATCACCTAGACACACTACATTCCCCCTCGCCATCACCTACGGACACACTACATTCCCCCTCGCCATCACCTAGACACTCTACATTCACACTCACCATCACCTACAGACATTCTACATTCACACTCGCCATCACCTACAGACATTCTACATTCACACTCCCCATCACCTACAGGCATTCTACATTCACACTTGCCATCACCTACGGACCCTTCTCAGCCATTTATTACGGATACTGTTTGCTGGACACGTAGGAGACACGGGCATCGAGCTATGGAGGCTGTGAGGGCAGCGTGTCCGGTTGATTACTGAGCTCATGGTATTGATTGTGACAACTACCAGGCTGCAGGACAAGACCTCGTAAGAAAAACAGAATAAACTATGGATGTTCTTTTAATCAAAACAGTTGTGCTTGGCAGGAGGAGCCCCGCCTTTGTCCCAAGGTCCCGGGGGACAGCCCCGT